ACTACAGATTAAAATACTGACATCTGGGCATTTGCCAGATGCTGGTTTAATATTAGAGGTTTGGGGTAAGGCCCCGGCCTCAGCATTTTTAAAAGCTCCCCAGGAAGTACCAACGTGAAGTCAGGGCCCAGCAGTCCCTCCCTGCTCTGCAGTCACGTGGTCCCGGCCCCCCTTCTGTGGCTGTGTTTTGCACCCAGGGCCTCGCACCCTGCCCTGGTGCAGACTCAAGACAATGTGACAGGATGATCCTCTTTGCCAGGTGTACTTGCTTTCTATTTCTGCTGTGACAAATGGCCATAAGCTCAGTGGCTTAAACTCATACTTATTAGTTCCGGAGGTCAGGGGTCCCCCATGGATGTCCCTAAGCTAAAACAAAGGTGTCTGGGCTGTGTTCCTTGGTGCAGGCCCTGGGGAGAATTCATTGCCTTGACAGGCTGCGGCATCTCTCGCTCATGCCCCTCCCTTCACCTCAAAGCCTGCCGTCGCATCTTTGTGATCATTCCTCCACTGGCACATCCCCTCTGACCGAGGATAGCGGAGGAAGGGCGCCTGTTTTTAAGGAGTAGTGTAATTAGATTGCAACACTCGGATAATCCAGGATAATCTTCCCCATCTCAGAGCCCTTAATTGGAGTCACGCCTGCAAAGTCCCTTTGGTCAAGTGAGGTAGCAAACATATCACGGGTTCCAGGGATTTGGACGTGGACAGCCGGGGGCGGGGGCGGGGGGCAGGGCGGCTATTCTCCTGCCTCCCACATCAGACCTGACATTTCACTCTCCCCTCCACACTGATTGTCCCACACTCGGTGGCTCAGCTGATCCACGACAGCCTCTGGGTATCCTTTCTGTTTTGAGGGGCAAGAAAGGAGGCTCAGGTGAGTGCATGATGGGGGTGGTCAGTCTGGGGCTGAGACGGAGAGAAAGGAGGTGCAGCCCAGCCCAGGGCCACGCCCTGAAACACGGGGCAACTGTCAGAATCATGAGCCAAAAGAAGAAAATCTGTTTTGTTTTTAAATGAAACACCAACATTTTACTTTCTTCTATAACTGTTTTCCATTGTTGATATCCTAGGGTTGATTACAAAGTACAAAAGAACATCTGCTTTTATACTGAAATTGGGGACTCAAATGAAATCACATTGGAGACCTAGGAGGCATTTGCTCTGTGGGTCCAGGCTGCAGCTACAGCACAGGCTGCTGCGCTTGCTCATTGTTTGCTAGAATTCACCTAAGAGCTACTTGCTCTGCCTGTTCTTTCATTTAGCCCTTCAGTGTTCCTGTTGGCAGCAAGAGCAACTGTGAGCCTCTTGGCTGCGTAATTCTAAAGCAGATTGTATGAGCAAAACAAGGGCTTGATCCTTGGCCTTTTGTTCAAACTCAGTGTCTCCTTCCTTGGTTTGGTGGAAACCTGCAATTATCAGAAGCTTTCTGGGCAGGTAAGAAAACCTCTGCTTTGAAGTCAATTTTGTTTGACATGTTAGGGATTAACCCAAAATTTAATATCCGCCCTCTCCCCTGCGGTCATGCACTGAACTGTGTGTGCTTGGGAAAGTGCCTCAGCCTCCCTGAGTCTGTTTCAAATGCAGCCTCTTTTCCAGGAGGTAGAAAGGATGGCAACTGTGGAAAGGATGTTGTGATGGTTGAGAGGTTTGCGTCATTGCGGGTCACAAGCTGCTGCATGTCCCGGGAGGGGGGACGTGGCAGAAGAATGTTAGTGTCACGGTGGTTGAGGCTTACCCCTGGCCTGGACTAGAGGGAAAACGCAGTCAGTGTGAGGGGAAGTGAAGGAGGAACAGAAACCGCGAGCCTGATTAGAGTACAGCGCTGGTCTGTGAAAGGAGAACTGAGTGGACCAGTAGAGAGACAAAGAGAGGCAAGGACAGAAGGAGGGGGGGGGATGACCAACACCCTGTCAGTCCTGTGACATGAGGCTGCCTTCACCTGGGCTACCAGGACTGGTTTTCTGTTTCTTCCACCCAAAAAACTGGTGTGGAGGCTACTTAGGGATCAGATTGTGGAATGAACATTGTTGTTGGTAAATCAGACCATGTTTATCCTCCTGGTATTTTTATTCCTTACTTGCCTTTTATTCCCCTTTAATAGTATGAATATTTTCCATTATAAATTTAAAAGTCTAAATTTAGACATAAAAGTTTAAATCCTGACCCAGTTTCCTAAGGAAAACCAAGGGAAAAACCTTCCTGGGGCGCCTTGCGGGCCAGGTGAGGAGGCTGAGAGCAGGGGCGAGTCCAGGGACAGCGGCCTCCCTCCTGACCGCCTCCTGCCCAGCCTGTCTCTCGTTCCAGTGCTTGTTCTTGAGGGGTGGCCATTTCTTTTAGAGCCTCATTTCCTCACTGTACCATGAGGAGGTGACACCAGGAGCTTTCTAAGTCCCCAGTGTACCAGGGGCCCTAGAGTGGGCATCGGAATCCAGCGAGAACCCCAAATGTCACGGGAGAACTCAGTTTCCCGGCATGCCAAGCGCTGGCCCGTCCTGCTTTTCCTTTTCCAGGAACACAGACCCCGTCTTTGCACCTTCCTCTGGTCCCTACTCTCTCCTGCCCCACTGCCTCCTTCTCTGTGCACCAAGACCACGTGATAAAGAAAGGATTGGAGGGAACCCCTCAGCCCAGCACCAGACAACTGAAATCAAAAGCAATTTCTGCTGGGTGCATGGGTTTCCCCTTCGGCCTCATCACACCCTTCTAATGCCGCACGCCAAACTGCTTTGTCCCCCACATCCCACTGGTGGATGTATAACACTGCATGCCATCATTTCATTATGGATCGTCCCACCTCATGGGGACGAGGCTGGCGGGGAGAGACGTCTCCTCCAGTCTGCCAGCCCAGTGTATTCATTTCTTGGATGTCTTCCGAGCACAGAGCCCATCCCTGAGTGACAGGATGCGAGGGCTGCCAGAGCCCTGATAAATCATCTGCTCCGCTCCCCCGGGCTTCACAGATGGCAGCACTTACACGGAGAGGTTAAGTGACTTGCTTAAGGTCACACAGCAGGACGCAGGCCAGATTTTAAGACGGCCTGTCGTCAGTTCATTGTGCTTCCCACTCCACCCTGTGGCTGCAGGAGGGTGAAGATGATCGATTAGGTTTTATGAGCACTAAGAGTGAATGAAAACAGACACATTTTCCTTTGGTGCTTCAAATTAATAAGGTCCTTGGGTGGGGGAAAAAAAAGACAAATAGCAAAGGCATTTTTAGAAGGAGGAATTGGAAAGCATGGAGGTAAACTCTTAGCTGCAAATGGTCATCACATTAGGAAAATGTGGGGAAAAGTTTTTGTAGGTTTTTTTTTTTTTTTTTTGAGGGAAAGGAGTCTTGAACTGTTTTTCCTTCTCTGCTGTATTTGTGTTCTTTCACCCACGTTCTTTCTCATCAGCACATAACACTATTCTGCTGCCATTTTTCTTTTCCTTGACATATTTATCACCTTCTTTTCATATTATGCTATAAGCCTTGGTATATACAGCTTTCAAAGCAGCTATTTTTAATGCAAGATGACACAGCAAGCTTTGAACCCCCCAATAAAATTGACCCGGGACATCTGGCACTAAAACGTTTCCATTTCCTCCCTGGAGAAGATTGTTATTTGTTTTCTATCTCTGAAAAGTGACACAGGAATGAAATAGGTTGACATTTTGAAAACAAGAAAACAATGACAAAAAACCCCCACGTATTTTCCTATTTCAAGTTATATAAAATCCTCAGAATACGGCATTTGACATTGAGAATTGCCATTTGCAGCAATTGCTTATTTTCATACACTTGACTCTAACTCTGTATGAGTCAGTTAACCCATCTACTAATTTTTCCTCACAGGAGTAGAGGATGATACTAAATGTGTTATTGGACTTTAATTCTAAAAATACTTGTTATGGTTATGAAAATAAGGCATTTTTGTTTATTTCTTTTGACAACTCAAAAATAAACATTCTAGTGCCTTTACTATAATAATCTCTGTTACAATGCTGCTCTGAGAATCCTCAAGAAATGTCTGCAGGTCTAGAGATCCTGGATGTCGTCAGGTGTGAATGTTGCTGCTTTTCAAGGGGAGCAAATGAACTGTGTTGCAGCTTCTGAGCAAGAGGCACCAAGGTCTGGGTTAGTTTCCACTCCAAGGTGAAGCTGCGATCTATGGGGAAGGAACGGTCATGTTGTGTCCCATAGTCCTTTGTGGAAAGTGAGAGAATTATCCTGCCCTGAATGTCTGTTGGTTAAAAGTTGACCTATTATTTGAAATTTGTGTTTGCCTGGTCTTTTCATTGTTTGCTTGTTATCTGTAAATATCTGTATAACTGTTTTAGGGAGAAACCTATTTATACCTGAAATAAGAGTGACTTGTTATCCCAAATAAGAGAAAAGGTTGAGATTGGATGTCACTATGAACCCTTAATTTCTACTCTAACTTAAATAATAAAACAGACTGGGACAGTCATCTGGTGCTCAGCTGAGTGACGGGGGCTACCCCCCTTTCCACCCAGTCTCTGCATTACCTGGTGAGCTTTTCCTTTACCAGTGCAAAGACCTAAGGTTATCTGGAGAAAGGGAGGGTTCATCCTAAAGCACCACATTGTCTAGGCATCTCACTTATATGTGGGAGTACAGGGTGCAGCCCCTCAAACAAATGCTCTAATAGGGTTAAAAGGCATCCTTCTTGGTCTACAGATGAGGAAACTGGTGATGAAATAGGTGAAGGCCTAGTTCAAGGCCACACGGCGGAGCTAAGACGTGAACCCAGAGTTCCTAACACCCAAATAAACCCTCCACCAATCACAAGCAGAAATACCACTTACAAGTGTTTATTAACCTGTCCCTTCTGGAAGTCTCTGATCTCTTAGATGGCATCTGGATTGCTTTAGTTTCTTTCATTTACATTAGTATTAGGGAAGAAAATGATTTGTGCTCTGGGATGTGTTGGCATTCCTTGTGGCACAAAACTAAGCGTGTGACTTCACTTGGTTTCTGAATTCAGAGGAGCACTTACCCATACTGAACAACACCCATCAGCGGACCCGCCGGGCCAATGTCAAGAGCCTGGGCAATGTCAGCCAGGAACTGCTTCTGGATTCGGAATCGGCGTTTGCCAATGCTCGCGCTCCCATCAATTAAAAATGACAAGTCAATTTTGCAGTCTGAGGAAGGAAAAGGGGCCCTGTTAGTCTGATTCCCTCTCATTGCATTTACCTGTGCATTCTCTCACTCCCCTCTTTCTCCACCAGAGTCCCCTGAGATTCAATGAAAAGAAAGTAAAAAAAGGAGCAAGAGGCAGGGTATATTTATTTATCGACATCCATAACAGATATTCACTGGGCACCAAGGTCCTAGATATGTGGGCTAGTACTTACTACCATGACTGCTTTAGAATTCTCTGTATCAGCCATGATGCTAGACTTCAGAAGCAGGGACCTCCTGGTCAAGTTTGGGAAGGCCCTCAGTACCTTTCCAGGGCTCAAACCGTATAAGTGCAGATTCCTCAGATGCGGGAATTCACTAAGACTGAGTCTCAGGAGTTTGTAGTCTTTTACTCTCGTTCTGACTTTTCAGAATTATGCATTGCATGTTTATAAAGGTGTGAAAAAACTGCAGAGCCCGTGCTGAGGGGCAGGAATTACAGGATGAGAAATTGGTACCAGTCTTCTCCTTCACTTCTCTGGGCAAGGCAACCATAGAAATTATTCACATATATCTACAGATGTCAGTTCTTGTTTGTAGCCATCTTAGATTTTTCTCCCTTTAGTTGGGATAATGACTAGGACGGTAATAGTATCTCTGGACCTCTGTGAGTATATGAAGGTTATGAGGGAGGAGGGGAGGACGGCGGGGCTGTGAACTATTTCAACCTTTCAACCACTGAGGAGGCTGTGGACAGCCACCTGCATTGGTAGAAGTTAGCGACTTCTTTGCTCTTGGCTGAAGTGATATCATCCCAGGATGATAAAATGGATTATTCAGTGCTTATCAGAAGTTCTTATTGGGAGGTATATAGCCCTTTGATTAATAAGAAATGAGAAATGAATTATTTAACTACTGCAATTTGGGAGACAAAATATTTCAAAACCAAGTTCAGTGTGGGGGGGGGGGGGGGACGGGGAAGAGAGACAGTGAAGTTAGGAACTTCTGGGCTGGAGTATCGTGGGCGGGTGGTGCTCAGCCCAGACAAGCCCAGATCTCTTTAAGCCGCTGCTTGGTCACCCACGAAGCTGCCCCCGGGCACCTGGTCCCTACACTGCATGTTGCATTGGTTCCATGTGACCAGAGAAAAAGAAGCTCTGTAGGTAGCAAGTTTTCTTATTTATTATTTTCTTTTTTCTTTTATTCTCGTTAATTTTTTTATAGGTGTCTCGATTTTTCCCTCTTTGCCCTCCTCCGTCCTGTCCACCCCTGCTCCCACAGTCCATCTTTTTTTTTTTTTAAATGAAAGCAAGGAATGGACATGAGTTGGCACAGTTTTAAGCAAAATTGATGAGAACTATTTAATAAAGAGTGATATTACGGAACTGGCAGATTAAGGTGAAAAGTTATATGTGAAAATGTGCTATGTTATCTTGCAGTGGTTCATGGCAATCTAGGCCAGAGAAGTAGACTGTGACAGGGACCTCTCTGGGCTGGTTCCGCTCCATCTGGTGTTGGTGCCTTGACTCATCAGCGAATCTTGCAAGCTTTGACTTCCTTTCTGCCTGGAGAGTGAACGCTGACACTTCCTGTTCAGCTGGCTTCCCTTGTCCTTGCTGCCCTCAAACTGCCTGTGCCCAAGCAGGATCCTTGAGATGAGGATTGGAAGAAACAAGTAAATTAGGAAGTAGAGCTTAAAGATGCCACTAAAGCCTGGGATAAAGCAAAAGAGAAGCAGAACACTTTATGGCTCGTCAGCTGGTTGTACCCCAAAAGGCCCGCTCTTTCTTTCCTAGGTCTGGGTTTGCAATGCGAATTGTTGCCAGCAGGTGGCAGTGGTGTTCTTTAGGGCTTGCTGCCCATTGGCGCCTAGGGTTTGCTGGAAATGCGACTCCCAGGCTCGACCCAGACTATAGAATTAGACCTGCATCTTAACAAGATCTCCAGGTGATTCGTGTGCACATTAAAGTTTGAGAAGCAACTCCTGCTGAGGGTTTGCCTTCCAGATGTCAGCTGAGTAGTTCAATATGCCTTTTAAAATGAACACTGTTTTTTTTGAATAACTATTCATTAGAGTAAGGGCCGAAGGGGATTTTCTTTTTAAATGAATGAAGTGGAATATGTGAATTTTTTAGCCTCTGTTTTGGTTCTTCATAGACCATTTTTCCCCTTTATTTCTTACATCTTGAACTATGTTCAGGGTGGACATACTCATTTTATAGCTAGGTTTTAAGAAAGCGAGGTGTTTTTCTGTTTGCTTAGTTCTCTTCACTCACTCGCCTGATGGATGATATTGGGGTCACCTTTGCTCCCCCTTTCCCAGAATGTTCTAATGACAATAGCTCCTTCTCAGGGCATGTGCTCACTGAGATCTAGTGGCTTTCTCATATTGAGATGACATCAATACTAAAGGGTAAAATTGGGTTATGAAATGTTTAGCATCAGCGATTTATTATAGTAACGATTGAAGATCTAGGAAGAAAAGGTAACATATATCGTATACAGGAATCAATCTACCAATTTTCTTAATTGCTTTGATTTTCTCCAACAAAGTACAATTTACAGATTAATGCTTTGTGTTGGTCATATAAATACACCAGGCCAGTGTTCTTAACCCTGGATAAGTATCAGTCACTTATGCAGAGTCAACAAGTAAAGATGCCTGGGAATCACTCTGGGCTGTGCTTCTCAAGGGTTAATGTGCAAAAGCACCACTTGATTCAGTAAGTCTGGGGTGGAACCTTATATTCTGCATTTCTAACAAGCGCCCAGGTGGTGTCAATACTTCTGGTCCCCAGACCACACCTTGAATAACAACAAGATTTAGAATTCTAGATAGAGTCAGATTCAGTAGGTATGAGGCAGGAATTGGGCATCTTTAATTTTTAAAAATGTCTTCAGGTGGTTCTCATGCGCAGTGAGGTTGCAACTCATGCCCCTTTGATGGCTGATGGATAGTGAATTTCTGGGGGAATTTGCAGGTGCTCTCCTTGGCTTGCACGCCCAACTCCCTCCTGGGGTTCCTCTTTTTCTCTGGTCCCTCCTTTCCTGTGTCCTCAAGTGGCTTCTCTTTCACCTATTTAGCATTAACTTTCTTCAGGTTTAAGTCCTGCGTTTCTTCTTCCTGTCTCTCCAGGTCACATTTCCTCTTCTCGTAGCCTTGGTTTTGAACCATAGCTCATCATTTTCCAATTCTAAATTTCTGGCTGGGCTGTTCCTTCCGAATGTCATGTCTCGGTATTCAACTCTCTACTAACCTGAATGTCTTGCAGATGGTGACAGATATAACTGACCTTCTTCCCCAACCTGCTCCATTCACAGTATGTCTTACTAGACATACTGTACATATTTTTTTTTGTACTAGACATACTGGGGTAGATGGTGTCTCATGGCACCATCTACCCCAGTTGCTCAAACCATCTTTAACTGCTCCCTCTTTTGCACCTCCTCCTCTAACCCTTTAGATTATGCCTTCTTTATATCTGTTGAATCTGCCTATATCTCTTCAACTCTGAGCTCCATCTATTATCACCTCCACTGGACCATCATCCCGCTGGCCAGCAAGTTTCCTCTCTTCATCCATTCTTGTCTCCCCATTCCATCCCATGCTGTTGCCATAGTGATATTTTAAACATCTGCTCCTCTTCCCCTGGTTCACACAGAGAGTGTCAATCCTTCAGAACTTCCCTTTCCCCTTAGAACAGAGTGACAGAAGAGAGGAGATAAGTGGATCCACAATAGGAGTGTCAGGGTTTGGGTGGAGTGAGTGGGTAGAGAGGAGAGAGCAGATCAATTGTCAGAGCCACTCTGGGTTTCTAGTTGTTAATTGACTTACTTGGATCTCCCTGAAATATGGGGTCCAAAGACTGTGTGCTTAATTCTTCTTTTGGAACAAATCCTAGAGAGAGCAGTAAAACTTTTGGTGACTTGAAAGAACAGGAAGCGTCTGGCCTTACCCCAGGGGGATGGGACATAGTGGATATTCACACCCAGCTCCTATCGCTAATGTTCTCTTCTCCATACCGTCCCTATCTTAAGAGATAAGAATAAATTAATATTTACTAACAGCCTACTAAAGACATAGTACTCTGCTGGTGCTTATAGGGATTTGAAGTCAAAAGACTTGAGTTCTGTTTCCTAATGCCTGTTAACTTATTCTATTTGAGCTTTTGTTTCCTTTTCTGAAAACACTGAGTGTTTTACCAGGATAATTTATCCCCCTGAAAAATTCTGAAAATCTCAAGGTCAGGGCATGTGCCTCACTCATCATATAAATATTCACTGTGCCCACCACAGTGATTGAGTCAATAAACAAAGATGAGCGAGACACAAGGAGGGCCATCTAATGAAGCTGGTTGTAAACTGGAGGGGAGCAGAGAAGGTACAAGTAAATCAGACAAGCAAGAGGGTCTAAAATGCAACCCCTCTGAGATTAGAAGTAAAGATGCAGAAGAGTTTTGTGCTTTGAGAGGCTGTGTGTGTGAGCTGCGTTTCAGCCTCAGGGATTTTTTTTTTTTAGAAGCCATTTATGTGGGAGCCAAAATCACAAATATGTGGTTTAAGGAATAAAAGACAATACATAAGAATGCTTTTAGGCTTGGTAAGGCCAATGAGCTTCACAGGCAGAGTGCAACAACTGAAGCGAGGCTCCTTGTTTTCAGAATGCTCAGAACCGCGCCCCCCTGCCTCCACCCAATCCCCGTCCCTCCTCCCCCTAGTTTCCAGAGGTGAGGGAGGGAGCTGGGGGTTCTTGGCTGCAGCGAGTTTTCTCCTGACTTGTTAATTTTTCCAATTTGCAAAGCACATGATTTCATCTTCCCATTAAAGGTCAGCTTGCTCATCCCACTTCCTCACATCCTTTGAAACATTCACTTTGGGTGTCTACTGGCATTTCTCAGCCAGGAGCCTCTCAGAGAAACTGCCCAGGGCTCCATGTGGGAGGTAGGGGAAGAAATGTAAGTCCAAAGGCCCGAGTCCCCTCTCCACCTCCGTTCCCCACCTATGAGCGAAATCTGCCCTTCTACCAAGAGCTGGAGGGCCCTGTTTATTGACGTTTCAAACACTTAAGGCAGTAAATGGTGAACAACATTCATTCAGGTGAAGGGAAAATCTGAATACCCATTGCAAAAACAGAAAGGGGGAATAGAAGGAAGGCAAAGCATCTGCAGGTGGAGTGAGGATCTAAATCCATTTGGGGAGCAGGGAACTCGCTCCCTCTGAGTCTCCGCAGTTTGCTTCTCCTTCTTGTCACCCAGTGTCCGCCCCTTGCCCTGGCCTCTTTGTGGGCGTTCCAGGGCACCCTCTGCAAGGCTGTCAGGCCCCGGTGGGGGAGGTAGAAACTGCCCCTGGGTCCCCAGCTGTTGCGATTAGACTCCCTCGCTCTGTAACCCTGTGCACCTAGATCTAGTCATGGTGAGGAGGCTGGGCTGAATAATTACCTGCATCTAAAAGCACCAGTCCAGGTTTCCACAAGTCCGCGTCCCCTGATTTTCAAAATAAAAGAGAAACAAACTTGTTGTTTAGATGAAACCAGCAGAATCTCTCAAGTGAACTCCCAGGATGGTCGCAGTCTCCAGTCATGGCAGAAAGTTTGGTGAAGGGGCATGGGGCCGGACTTTTGGGTGGAGCGCCCTGAGATGTGTGGCATTTTCTCATTTAAAGGTCTTGAAGCCAAAGACAAAAACAGCTTTGTCCTTTTCTTTCTTTCATTGTGCATCAAAGATCATGGAATAATGAGAAATCTGGGATTCAAGGGAAATTTAAAGGTCATCCAACCGAAACCAACCCCCCAATATGCTTGTACAACATCCTTACCAAAGTGAGTGGATGGCTAGTGCTTGACTACCTCCAGAGACAGGGCACTCATTACAAACGCAACCAAAGTAGTGCATTTTTTCTTGGACTATTGAGACTTTGAGGAAATTTTTCATTGTCTCGATCTGAAATCTTTATCCACCCATCCATCACTTCACACTAATGAAGCACACAGTGTGTACCCAGCACCATCCTAGGGTACATTTGTCTTACCCACCCACCTGTTTGTGTTCTCTTCTGTGGAACCACACAGAAGAAACGTGGCCCCTTCCAGGAGCAGGTACTCACTTCCTGAGGCTCTGCTTCTCACTGCAAGCCTCCGCAGAATGAAGCAAAGTGGCACCTGGCGTTCCATCTGCTGTCAAATGTTTCCCTGTCCCCCTATCACACACACACACACACACACACACACACACACACACACACACACACATGCACGCATGCACACACAGGTGCTGATAAAATAGAAAGGATGGTTGGGAAGGGGAGATTCTTACCCAATAGTCCCTGACCTATTTTGGGGGATCATGGCTGTGAGGGGCTCAGAGGAAGCACAGACATGGTAGGAAAGCTCAAAAGGACACCAAAACAGCTGTTTCTTTCCCTCCCTCCCTTCTTTCTCCCCTGCCCACCTCCAGCTCAGAAAGCTGAAACCTGAGGGCACAATGGACTGTGTGATCTCGTAAAGACCATCGGCTCACTGCATGCTAGAATTGTTAACACACTCAAAAGAAGGGATTTTTTTTTCACACAATTAAGATGCCAAGCTATTTTGAAAGTCACTGTGCTGTTGTACATTCTAGTTAACAGCGAGAGCTGAATTTAATTTAGCTCATTCATTAACCAGTTGTATGACCTTATACAAGTCACATGCTTGCTATGAATCTTAATTCCTTTGGGAATAACATTAGCAGATTGGGTGAGATGATTGCCAAATTCAAAATATTTATGATTTATATGTTTAAACATTCTGCTTCATTAGCCTTATAACTCTATTGCCACCTACTGGCAAAAATATGCACTTTGCCCTTTCCCTAAAAAAAAAAAAAAAAAAAAAAAAAAAAAAAGGGTGCTGGTGATAATCTCAGTTGTTGCCCAAGGCTTTTCGCACTCTTGAATGGAACGAAGAATTAAAATGCTGGTGCTGTATTACTTTAGCAGGAGAGAGACAGTTCTTGGACGTCAGGGATTTCCAAGTCTCTTACTCCTGTGCAGGAAGCCAGTCCTATTGGTGCCACTTTCATTTACTTGGGACAAGTTTGAACCAAATCACTTTTATCCAAAAGCCAAGGGCTAAAAAATATTTGGACAGCTGAGACTTAGTGTTTTTGGACTTGGTTATAATGAGAAGGAAGTAAATTTGTGAGGATATTTGTGGTCTTGTGTTGAGGCATAAGGGGTGGTGTGGAAAAGAGGAGTTGGAAGACCTGTCCTGTGTCTACCAAACACTAGCTGGGGACTTGTGGGCTCAGCCACCCTCTCCGAGCTTACGTCTTCTCCTTTGTGAAGCTGAAGGCACCAAGACTTGTCCTGCCCTGCCTCACATGGTGGTTAATGGATTAAAAAAATCAGTCTGAAGAGCGTAAGGCACTCCTACAAAAAATAGGGAATTAATTTTGTGCCATTCCTTGCTCGATTATCTCACTGATACAGTCAGTGTCTAATAGAAGTATTGGTTCTGAATGATTTCTGATGTAAAAAGGCAGAAACCATTAACATTTATAGAGAGCGTACTTAGTGTCAGACACTGACCAAGGACGGCAGGAGGTTAGGACACGACAACCCTCGGCGTCAGGTACAGCGGGAGGAGCCCATTTCACAAGGGAGGAGCCTGCTGCCCAGGGAGTGGCAGAGTGAACCTCAAGCCCAGCAGGCGGGCCCAGTCCGTTTCTCACTCAGGGCGAGTCACAGTTGCTTCGGTGTCTCCGGGTACTCGGTTAGGCCGCTGACCAGCTCGCCCCCTGGCACACCCCCTGCAACGTGAGGGCCGGAACCATCCCGCTCCAAAAACCCCAGTGATGTTTTTGCACTGGTTACAGCTCCTTCCGTTCCCTGCACATCTGGAAGTCACCAGCATGGGACCCAAGTGTATGCTGCAACACATGGCCCTTAGGGTTCTAAATGTTTACGGAACAGAAGCACAGGTGGCCCTTCAGCGCCCTGGTTTCTCCCCAGCGACTCCCGGTGTGGGGGTGCAGTTTGAGGAGGAGGTGGCAGTCTGAGAGGCAGCTGCGAGGATCTCCGCACCTCCCTTTGCGGTCCGGCTTCCTGCCCCGAGGGCTGCACACTTCCTGTGAACTTCCTCTTGCTGCAGGGAACCGGGAAGCAGGCAGAGTGCAGGTGCTGCTGTGTGGCAGCTGGGACCGTGAGAAGGCTGAGGACAGTCTGAGGTCCCAGGCAGGAGCCATCACACCGGCGAAGTCTACAGGCCCAGGTTTACAAATGTGTTACCCTCCAGAGCTTGGTGTGGGATATTTGTTTGGGACCTGGCGGCCCTTTTTCATGGAAAAAACATTAACTCCATGGTTAGGTTTCCAGGCCAGTGAAGCTTGCTTGATCAAACAGAGCTCATGGTACCAGGAAGCCAGACCGCACAAGGAGGGTTCTGAGGAAAAGTCGCCTAGTTCTAACTGACGTCGTCGGGAGCACACCACTCCTCCTTCCCCCTGGGAAATCGGCAGGAGCAGCCTTGCTAGCACAGGTGGCTCTCGTCCCAACTCGGAGGTCTGGTAGTGGGGTGGGGCCCGGCAGGGGGGCTGCCTTTATTCACAGTGTGCAGGAGAGGCTTCCCTCCACCCGATGGGGCCCCTGGGGCCGGGGGTGGGGGGGCTTCCTGACTGGTGGAGGTCTGAGCACCTGGGGCCAGGAGAGGCTCCAGTCACGGGCTCCCTGGGACTTCATGGGAGGGTCTGAGGTGCTCAGAGCGCCGGGGCAGCCCGGATGGTGGAGGGAGCAATGATGGGTAGCAGCAGCTGCGGGGAAAAGAGGAGCTGGGAACATCTGTGTGGGTCAGCGAGATAGGGTGTCATTACTGGGAGCATGAAGAGAATGGAGAAGAAACAGAGACTCATTCAGAGGCAGAGAGCCAGACGTTAGAAGAAGAGAACGTGGTCATATGCTGAAAACAACCTTGGGTTGCTGCGCAGTAAGAAGCAGAACCTGGAGATTGGTACTGTGCCTTGTTGCCAGCCATGCCCCTCGCCGTGTCCAATCCAAGTGCTGTGTCTGGGGGTTTGTGCTTTGTCCTCGGATGGGCTAGGCGAGGGCATGGGCTGTCTGGCTGGGTGGGGGGGGCCCTCTCATGCAAACCCAAGCGCATGAGAGTCCTTGGGTGTCTCTTTGACACACACAACAGGCAAAGCCAAATGCCGTTTTCTAGAGGTTAAAACAACTTGGCCTGCCTGCAGACTCCGGCGCCCTGGAGGTGAGCTGCAGAGGCCGCAGCGTGTGGGGAGGAAGGTGCCGAGTGAAGCAGAGCGGGGCGGGGGCGGGGGCGTGAGTGGCAGGCGGCCTCGCCAGGCTGACACCGGGCTGGCACATCCCAGGCCAGCTGTGCCTGGAGAACCCGGCCGGTGGATGCCTGAGGGGGTTACCCAGGGTCAGCTGATATGTGTGCAGCCAGCAGCCTGCTGCCTTTCCCTCATTTTGCCCCCTGATGAAAATGCCTTAGTTCACATTTTCCTTGGAAGTCAGCTGAAATCTCTGTGGTTGGCCCTACTTTGGGGGGTTGCAGAGGAGGCAGAGATCCTGGCCAAGGGGACAGGAGGAAGGAGTGCCCCATGCTTGGCTGCTTGAACAGTCCCCCGGGCCTATTAAGGCCTAAAATGGCCTTGAAGTCCTTGCCCTGCCCAGTGATCTGATTTGTAAGCCCTTTGTCCAGGACAACAGCATGTATATTAGCAAAGGTGCCATTGTGAAGCTTGTAGAAGCTGCTAGCCCTGCCTGAGGACCCCATGGAGCCCCTGCTCCAATCTGGCATCAAAGCAAAGGAGAACCTCCAGTCTCTAGTACTCTTTTAACATGTGGAGGACAGGCAGGTATCCCCCAGCAAAAGAAATCCTGGCCTCTTTCTCGTGGAGGCCCAGGCTGCCATCCTAGTGCCCCATGGCTGCAAAGGGAATTGAGGACTTCTGTCAAGTCTTTGAGCTCAGGGCTCTGAGTTAGTGGAAAGCTTCTAAGCTAACTCAATTTTCCCTTATAATGACCGCAGGCATCAACAACGGGCGAGAAAACTTGCTTCATCCCTTTGTATTCCCAGTGCCGGGGATGAAACTTTAAGGGACGCACACAGAAGTGAACTGAGGGGCACCAGGAAGTGTCACGATTCTTAGAAGAAATCCTGGCGGGGAATGTATTTTATTCCCTATATCGTAGAAGTACCCAGGCAAACTTAGCTCTGCCCTTTCCTGGGAAATGATAAAAATTTCTCTTTCTTTTACCCTAGTTCTTTAAGTATAAACCCCAGAGAGTATCCCTTTTCAGGTTTATAAGAACCTAGTTACTGAATCCTTAGGAATTTCTCTCACCACCCCCTCCTTCAACAAAACTGCCTCCAGGGAATGGCGATGAGTGAAAGCTTTGCTTATTTTAAGGCTTCCTTACTTTTCTTACAAGTTTCCTTACAAGTTGGGCCCATGAGCCATATCTTTTGTTAGTATAACTAGTTTAATGCTCTCTGCCCAAATTTAAATCAAATGGCAGGGATTTGGAAAGACAAAACTCAGGTAAACAAGCTTAACTTTCATCAGAAGCTAGAAAGGTGAGTTCAGGTTCTTACCTGGGTTGGCACGGGGGCTGTTTTTGCTGCTTGTGTAGGTGGTGGTGGACCAGAGATCTGTAATGACATTTGACTGGTCAGAGCATGAATTTTAATCTAATTGTTCTCATTCTTTGCATGATCTAACCTAATAAGACATTACCAAGGCCAAAACCAAGGTAAAGCTTGTCCTTGGGAGGTCTGAACACGCCCCGGAAGAGGCATTGAAATGGGAAAAAAAGAATTTAACTCAAAGCACTGAATGAAAATTCCAAGTAATAATAACCCTTGTATGTCACATCCTGTACAAAAGCTATATTTCTTTACACTTCATTATTCTTACAATAATTCTCCTCAACCATGTCACTCCCGAGGAGGTTAAAGTAATCCTTCCATAGAAATGTCACTTAACATTTAGCAATTTGCTTAAACTGTGTTAACATGGCATTGAGGCAAACACCGTTAGCGTTCAGTCATTTTTAAAGGTACACAATGGGTTATCCTTAATTACTCTGTGAGAGAATCAAATACGCTTCAACATTCATTATTTATTGGGCAATGTCTCTGAAGCAAGGCTTCAAAAAGGAGAAAGGAGATGGGAGATTCTGTATGAGAGATGAAAAATCTCCTTGGGGGAAACAGCATCAGGTGAAAACCAGCCGAGGGAGAGAACCACATTTCATGGAGGGGAGGAGATAAGAGGTCATGGAAAACCATCAGTTCCTTTTGCAACCAAATCTATCTGCCATCAATTTTCCATTCCCTCCGTTCCAATTCTTTTGACATGATTCAAAATAGCTTTAGTCTACTTATAAAGACAACACATGCCTATTGTAAAAATACATACTAAGGATAGTAAGAAATCACCTGCAATACAATCCCTTTTTTTGTGTATACAATCTGTGCTGCTATACAACTTTGGTATGTAGCGTTGTATCCCCTCCTCTCTACAACGTTCTCATGTACAGCACACAATTGCAAACATGAGATTGGTACCCCTGCCATTTTGTGTCCCACATCTTTGAACTCACAATTTGTCACAGGCCAACCTTCTCCTGTCAGTAAGTGTGTGATGTCAAAATTTTAATAGCTGCACAGTAAGTTCTTTAACTGCTTTGATGATGGACAATTAAATCTTTTCCATTTAGTTTTCTATTAGGAACACCGTCTGTGTCCAGGCTTCTTGTCACCCGTGGGCAGGGATTACCTTAGACTCTATTTTTGTGAGGGCAAATTCTGGGTCATTTCTGTACACTCTGCCATAACTGTGAATTATCAACTTCCAATGTGAACTGGTGAAAAATGACATATTGCTTAATTTGCAGTTATCTTATTCTTGGTGAGGTCGAACATCTTTTGTTACATTTATTGGCCATTTATAGTTCTTCCATTCTGCCTTGCCTGGTCATGACCTTCACCCATTTTTCATTTGGAATGTTTGTCTTCCTACTTGTAAGACTGGATTTTAAGAGAAGCTTTCTCCAGACACCTTAAGGAAATTAAACTTGCAGAGATGAAATTACATGAGGAAGGGACGGGCAGTTATAGATGCTGGTGCCCTTCCTGCCTCAGGTTTCACCACTTCCTGCTCCTCCCTGGCCGCTCTGTCAGAGGGTGGAGTGGAGTAGAAAGGTGAATGATTAGAGCCATCACCATGCCTTGACACTAGGTGGCGCTCTGCTTCCCTCCCTGGTCTTCCCTTTCTGGTGGAGGCATTGAATCTGCTAGATCAGATGAGGCAACGATGGAGCTTCTTAAAACGAACCTGACCAGGAAAACAATGCTGGGAAAAGCTACTCCACCTTGTAGACCTGTGGTAGCGTCAGCTGACTCTGTAGGTGGGTCTGGTGGGTTTTTCCATCTTTTCCAGAACTCTTTCCTCAGCACAGCTATAGATATGATTCTCTAGGCTGCCCCCTCTGGCCCTGGGATGCACCTCTGGCCTCCTGGCTCCTGTGGTGCCAATAGACTCCTTGGCCTCTCTCTGAAGAACAGCCTCTCTCCTGCCTGGGAGAGGAGTCTCTGTCACTCTAGCTCTTGGATCCCTTACGCCCAGCCTTGAGTTTTTCCTCAGTATCTTGTTAACTTTGTACATTCATGGGTCAGTTAGGAGGTTATGGGGCCTTGAAATCCAGCCCCATCTTCCTTGGAGCCCTTCCACTTACCTCAGCTCCTCTTGTCCTGCCTTTTCCTGCCACAAACTTCCTACTTTCTACGGAAATCGCTCCAAGTCCCCATGTCCTGTCTGAGAGGCTCTACTGTAGAGCAAAGATGACTCATGGACTCCAAATGCAGGCTGCTCCTATTCCAGCTACACACTTCTCAAGTGTCTTAAACTGAAGTGACCTGCCACAGGGATGTTGGTGGGATGTGTTCACCAATGCAGCCCAAGATCCTAGAACAGTGCCTGACACATAGTAGACACTACGTGTTGAATAAGTATATGTTGAATAAATAAGTATATTTTGAATAAATAAATGAATTAGAACACCTTCATCCAAGTCACTTCTCAAATCTTCCGACTATAGTCAAAATAAGAGGAAAAAACCACCTTTGATAAATACAATAACAGCAACTTACTTGTCTACCAAGTGAGTAATTAGCAGTAATTATTCTCTTATAAGTGGCACAATATTTTCAGGTCATTTGAAGAAACAAAGGAGTTGTTTGTAAACTAAATATTATTTAATATAGTTGGCATAGAATATTACAACAAATACCTATAGCCATATGTTAAGGTAGGTGTTCATGAAAGTAGATTGGTGGTTACCCAGGACTGGAGTAGGGAGAGATTAGGGCGCCATAGTGAATAACGTAATGGGGTACAGGGTTTCTTGTTTGGGTAATAAAATGTTCTAAGATTGATTGTGGTAATGATTGCACAACTTCGTGAACATACTAAAAACCATTGAATTGTTCACTTTCAATGGGTGGATTGTATGGTATGTGAAAAGTATCTCAATAAAGTTGCTATTATAAAAAGATGTGGGTCTTCATACATCAACTTTCACTTTTCTTCAGTCCTACAGAAAGTCCTTTGAGTAGGCAATACACGTTTTTAAAAGTCCTCTCTTTCTCCCCTTCCCAGGTCTGGCTCCTCTCAGCAATTACGGGGCATGCTGCATGGACGCTTGCTCTGGGGGTGTTTGTCCAGCAGCCGGGGGGCGGGCAGCAGGGGCGCGGGCGCTGGACAAGGGTGAAGAAGGAACACTGATGGGCGCGGAGGCTGGCATCCACGGCTCCTCTTCCCAAGCCAGGAATAATGAAGCTTTGCCAGGTTGGGAGCCACTACTGCAAGTTGCTTGAGGTTTTCCATAAGCATAGGCCCAACTTGTAACAGGATTTCCAAGCTTCCACGGTAGCCAAGCAAATATGCCACATGTTTAATTATATGTGTTATGCAAAAATTGATGTCCTCTAAGGAGACACCAGGAGCGAACAATAACTTACTCAGCAACTCAAAAACCTTTGAAAGAATCAAGGGCTCTGAAAGTCTGGAGCCTAAAATTAAGAGAAAGGGAAACATCTGCCTGTGGGACCCCTGTCCCCCAGCATCCTTCCTAAGTATTTTCTCTTTTGCTGTTAGGCGTAGTGTGGCTGTGTTTCTATTGGCCTGAGTTGAACAAGAATAGGATGGTGGTGGAGTATCTATTATTGCACTTTGGAAATTATTTTTATGATATTTTCATTTGGGGACTTTATATCATAGCTTCTTCCGTGAGTTGTTCATTGAATGGAATAATAATAATCTTTATTTCATAGGCTTGTTGGGAAGACTGAATAAAATAATGTAGGCAGGGTGCCTGGTAGACAGAAAGTATGGACTGTGTATGTTCCATTATTTATTATTAATCACAGTGGGAGGTGGCTGTGTCTCATACCCTCTAACCTTGCCACCCCATCCGTACCAAGGTGGGTCAGGCCTGTTTCTGTAACACTTCGTCTGTGCCTGGGGTATCGGTTTATGGCAGGGATGCATCCTGCAAGGGGAGTCACAGGAGGGCCAGGCTGCTGGGGCTCGGTTCCCAGCCACTGCCTTGCTGTGGGGCTGGGGGCTCGTTTCTACACCGCTCTCCTCCTTGGTTTCCTCATCAATACAATGCATCGGTCAAATTAAAAGTAACACAGATTAGATTAGTTTAAAGCTGTGTAATATGAAAGTGGTTGAAAATCACATACATAGACTCGTCTATGTCCATATATCTGTAGAGGAACAGCTTCTATTGTTTTCACATGTTCTAGAGAATAGGATTTTAATTCTTTTTATACTCTGCCTAATATGTAAACAGTAAGTTACAATATCTACATTTAAAAAAAAGTAATGTAGCTGCCTGAGAGGGTTGGTCTGGGGATTTAGTAGGCTATTATTAGTGAGGTGGTTAGGAAGGTGTGTAACACATTGAGAGTGCTATTTGTATTTGTTAATAAAAAGATGGAATGAGAGCTAGCGGGGCTCTGATACGGAGGGCAAAGGCCATGCTATGTGGCCTAATGTTTGGAGGATGGAGGTGAGGCTGAAAAGAACAAGTTATGAGCACTTCCTCCTTGAAGGAAAAAGTGGCCCCAGGTGGGAATATTCAGAACAAATTGCTGAGGAGACAACAGTGACACTTTGGCGGTGGGATTTCCCACCCCCGTGCCGGAAGACCTTTAGAAATGAGGCAGGCATTTATTAGCCTAGGATGGCTTACATGGAAACTGAAGATTAGGCAATCAGTGAGCTCCTAAGTTTCTGTATGAGGTAATATCAAGAGTGGTTCCATAAACTGGAATTTGGTAAGACCAAAAACATGACTTAAGAAATGGATACAAGTAGTAAGACAAAAAAGCAATCAGAAAAGGAATAAAAATTGTTGCTCTCTGGCTTTTCCTAAAGGGATTTTTTTAATTTGTTTGTTTCTAATTTTGAAAACTTCCAGGAATATATAATTTGTCACTTAAAACAGAACTTAACAGTGTTTACATAGAACCCTCCTATCCCTTCAGCTGAGCTTTGGGAGAAACAAAGTTTCATGTGATATCTCACCTTCAAAAGCATGATAGCAAGGGTCATATGATCTAATCTATTTTAAGCCCTTTCTACATGGTTTGCTTAGCTCTTACCTTGACCCTAAACTATTGTTATTGGGCTCAGGTTTACCCCCTAAATCTGGGAGAACACAATCACATAGCCATGGCCCAGGTCTCAGGCATTCCCCTGACACCCATTTGTAAAGGTGAGAGAAGGCCGCTACACACAGGCATTCAGACAGAGGGGCTCATCTAAAAACCAATGTCCCACTTTCTTGCATGTGGAAACATGGTCTACTTACTGACCCAGCTCCAGGCTCCTGTGGCCTATGGGCTGTGGTCTGGGGTTGCTGGTGGTCGAGTCCATGGATGGGGATGGCTTTGGCAAGGTGGTGTGAGTGTCTTCCACTGGGGTGGTCCCCAGTACCTGTGTCATGGTGACTGGCTGTGTGGTTGTCCCTGGAACTGACGGCATCTGATAGGCTTTTGTGGGCTCACCTGTAAGAAAATGAAATTACACTGGGGCCTATCAAATAGCCAGTAGGCTCTTCAGGACAGAAATAAAATAAAAGTTTATTGATCACTAGCTTATGAGTAAAGCCCACCTGCCCTACGGGGATGCACAATCTAGACGGAGCAATAAACCAATACACAAACCAAAGATTAAATAACAATAAAGTACTTAAACCACAGTTCAAGCCTTAGAAATGTAGACAAGGCAGTAACATGATTAATCACCAAATTAATTTTCTAGATGCTCGAAGCAATGGGTCATGAACATACCTTTTCAATTAGCATTTGCCTAGGGATAGGAGCTACTCTTGGCTTTTGCTATGACTTATTTTTAGAGAATGCATTTTAGATTTCTCGTTTAGGCTCATTCATGACTAGTCAACTAACTCCTCTGGGCCTCAGTTTCCTTATCTGTCAAATGAAGTAATAGAACTAATTAGCTTGTAAGGATCATGTTGATTGTGCTTCTAAACTGTGCTCTTCATCCATGTGTGACAATTTAGTTTGCTTTCAAAATTTTAAATGAGTCTCAATTTGTTATTGCTCTGGGTGTCCTGAGAGTATCTCTGAAGGTTTAGGGCAAGGAGACAAGTGCCTACCTGCTGGGCATTGGGGATTGTCTTCAGAGCCATAGGTTTGGGCTGGAAGGAGATACAAAACAGCCCCACAGATGAAGAGCACCCCAGTCATGTGAGGGCAACAGGCCCCTCACAAATGTCTGCTGGACCCCATGGTGGCGGGTTATGCCGGCTTCTATATCTGAGCATCTGTATTAGTTTCCTAGGCTGCCATAACAAATTACCACAAACCTGGTGACTTAAAGGAACAGAATGCCTTCTCTGACAGTTCTGGAGGCCAGAGGTTGGAAACCAGTATCACCTGGTTGAACTCCAGGTGTCAGCAGGACTGAGCTCCCTTGGGAGGTACTTGGGTAGAATGGTTTCCTGCCTGTTCCAATTTCTGGTGGCTGCTGGCATTCCTTGGCTTGTGGCCACACTACTCCAATCTTAAAGGCCAGCGTCCTCAATTCTCTGTCTGTTACATCTTCAGTTGACCTCCTCTGTGTGTGTATGTTAAAACTCTCTCCAGCTCCCTATTATAAGGATATATATAATTGCATTTAGGGCCCACCCAGATAATTCAGGATAATCTCCCCATCTCAAGATCCTTAACTTAATTATATCTGCAATGGCCATTTCTGCATTATAAGGTAACACTTGCAGGTTCCAGGAATTATGACATGGATATCTTTGGGGTGAGGGAGCTACGTTTCAGCCTACCACAGCATCCCAGCTCTAGCCTTAACTTGGCTCAGGGTTGGTGTATTCTTGGTACATAGATCAGCAGGCCTAGGGGATAGCATCTGAGATAAGAAGGGGACCTCTCTTTCTGTTTGTGGGGACCACCACCTTCCCCTTTGACATTGTGCAGCATGCTGGGAAAACTCTTTCTCCCATGGCCCCAGACCAGCTGTGCAGAGAAATGTGCAGGCAGGGCGTTCCGATCCGCTGTCCAGCACTGGCACCCGTTCCTTTCCCCACCCTGACACTGTCACCCTCGGCAGCAATCAAAGCATTGAGTTGGGAGAACAGGTCAGCAAACAGCACCCTGGCATGGGGATGCTTCTGTAGGCACTGGCCTGTCAAGGCAGGAAGCAGATCCCTCATTTACCCTGTTTCGCCTCTAAATCGGCCTGCGGACTGTGCCAGATAAATCGCTAAAGAGCTGGCAGCGGCCTCAGGGGTCTGGCCAGTCTTCACGCCATCCTTGGGCGAAGCTGAACCTGTGATTTATGACATTTCCATTACTTTAAAGGAACTGAGCTTTCATAGCAAGTCTTGGGGAAGTTTCTAATTTCTCTCAAGTCCTCTTCTACCTTACCCCCTGGTAAATGCTACCAGCATTAATGTCCGTTTAGGGAGATGCAGGCCCAGGTGCAACCTACTTCATTTACATAGGGAAAAGCCATTTAACAGGATCACTTGTATATTTTATAAAATGGCATATAGTTATTAATTTGGAGAGAAATATATAAATAAGCTGACAGTACATTTTACTTGCAGCTTATCAATCAAACACTTACCTGTTTTTATTTAGTTCAGAGTAGCTGGAGGCTCTAGCCAAATAACAGCTGCCTGCCTATGGTTGCTTGCTGCCTGGGGGAACAGCATTTAAATTTCAGGAATGTCTGTTCTCAGCAGGAGCTGCACTGGGCAAACCAAGATACTTTCTATTGTTTGACTGAGAGAATTTCCCATGGAAGCAGCCCATTCTGCGTTGTGGGGTCATCCTAACCTGATTTACCTGTTAGTGCACATTCTTGGAGAGATTAGGAAGGTTTTGTAAGGGCCTGCAGAGACCTGAACAGCTGCCGGCCTTCACATCTCCATCTCTTCTTCCTTTCCCCACTTTCTATAGGAATTTTATCACTTAAGAAAGAGTAGCAACAAAGGGGCCGTCCTTTCACAGTTCTCAGTGGAATTTTTTGAGTTGGTGAAATTTACTGCAAGGTGAGGCTATAACTTTAAAGAGATGTTCCTGTATTTTGAGCAAGATCCCAAGTGTCCCTTTTATGTTGGAATTCTTGTAGTTTAGCTCAGTGCCTGGTACATAGGAGGTGCTCATATGTGGTTATTGAATAAACAAATAAATAAATGAATGAGTGAACTTAATTTTTCCCAAAATGACAACTATACATCATTTTGTAATAGGATAGTTAATACCAGGTGATAGTATCGTTGAAGGTAGAGATGGTTTTGTAGAGGGGACAAGTGACATCAGCAATACTTGACTTGGTGTTCTGACTATGGCTTTCACTCATTTTAAATTTATGTGCAAGAAAGACTGCCTGGCATCCCTGTACTCCTCTTGGATGTCAGTGACTCAGGCACATGGAACAAGTACTTGCCCAGGGTGGGTGGTGGTGAGCTGGGCCATGGTACTTGGGGTAGATAGAGAAGTTTTGGAAATGATCTCTGATATGGAGAATGTAGAAACCAAATGGATTTTATGGTCAAAGCTCTTCTTTGGCTCTAATGTTTCTGCCCCCACTTTACCTCCTTGGAGGGGACGCAATCAGCATTTGAACATTGTATGGGTCAGTTAGGGTGGTGCCCTTGGGCAAGGGATTAAACATATCCGAGGGTCAGCTTGCTTATCCGAAAGTGGGGAGCCACTGGCACTCTGCCTCAGGGTCGCTCTGAAGCACAGGTATCTGGCACAGAGAAAACACTCGATTGATCATTGATAGCTGCAGTTGCAGGAGGTTGTCCAGATTCTCCCTGCTGTCTGTCTGGGTTCTGGCTAAGGCCCACAGCTGAAGCCAGAAGGGGCCAGTACCGTGTTCTAAATGAGGAGAGGTGCCACTGAACTTCCTTCAGGTGGGGCCATTTGAGTAGAACTTGTGTGATAACCAACCCCACCTCACCGGGGCCTGTCAGCAGAAGGAAAGGACCAAAAGAAGAGGAGGGGTTAGTAGCCACCATTTGGGGCCTGGAAGTACTCTCCCCCTCAGTGCAAAAATAGTGGGTACTTGACATGTGGTCCCTAAAGTCGGGGGCTTACTTGGACATAAGGTTTGTTTGCAAAGCGGGGAGGCGTATAGGGCTCAGAAGGCCAAACGGGAAGTGAGATGAGAAGAAAAAGGAAACCTCACCCTCTCCTTGCTCTCCTCAAACCCCTGAGGGGAAGAAGAGAGCCCCAGGCATTCCCACGGCTCTATGCAAAGGGGCTGCCCAGGGGGCTGCCGAGCTAAGGAACAGACACCTGACTCGGAGAAAGAGGTGGGGCATAGATCTCTGGCCCAACAAGAGAGGACCAGAATGCAGCTGAACACTGTCCCCTGGCTCCAGATATATCCGCTTACATCACCTACTCAGAAATCACTGAGAACTGCTGGCCTAGATGAGACAAGAGAGAGGCCAGGGACACTCTCCCTCCATCAATGGGCCAGTCACTTAGGGAACCTCTGTCACCTATTCCTCTCCTCTGTGCCCACACCAAAAGAGGACAGGAGATATCTCAGAAATAGTCCCCGAGCCACCACCGTCTGCTGTCAGCTTGTGGGCAGGGGTAGGGAACAGCTGTACCTTACACCTCAACCCACACAAGTCTAGATTACCAGAGTAATTAACATGTCATCAAAGATATAGTTGAAGAAGTAACTAGTGGAAAAAATGAAAAACATTTTCTATTTGTATGCCAAGATTTCTCAAATCAGGACTCTTCATACATACTGTTATTAGCATAAAAAAATACAGAATGGTATAGAGGTGTCTGGAGCCAGACTGTCTGGGTTTGATTTTAAACTCTGTTACTTACTAGCTGTGTGACAAAGGGCAAGTTATCAAACTTCTCTGTGCTGTATTTTCCTCAAACTGTAGATCAGGGCTAAGAATAGTACATACCCATGGTGTTGCTGGGGTGATTAAATGCAATAATCAACTCTTGGAACAGTGTCTAGCACACAGCAAATACTCAATAAATGCTAGCTTCTATTGCTATTCTTAAACCACGTTCTCCAGAAGTGCATGAACAAAATCAGCTTTTCTGGAAGCAATACAAAATCCCATTATAAGGCAACTCACAGCTTCCCTTTGTGTAGGAAATCAAAGTACTCCCAAAGACACAATACTGCATAGCCCACTTCCCGCCTTAATGGGAGAAACCTAGAAAAAGGTATTGTCTTGGCCTGAGGTCTACCAGTACGTGAACCACCTTTGTGGTTCACATGATGCTAGGTCGGCACAACCTCAGAGACAGTGTATCTGTGGCCTGGGTTATGCAGATTAGCTGCTTACTGTTATCTCATAAACCACATCATTCTCTCTGCTTCCCTTCATTTCATACCTAAGTGAAGACAGCCCTTTCCCTTTCAGCTGCCAGGGAAGATTTCTGCACAGAAGGTCACCTTCTAAAGTGACAATACAATAACATTCAAGGCAATGGCCTTGAAATCTGAATGAAAATGACACAAACACAGAGACGATCTTAAAATTGTGAAAACAGAAAACTAAAATTTAAGCCTCATTCCTCAGTCCCAGCCATTAGATCCCATTGATTTCTGGGCCATCTTCCTGGCAGCTGTAAAAAAATTACTGCAGTCAGTGGGCTTTGACTGGTTAAGATGTTAATTTCTACACTATCTCCTAAAACACAATAAATGCATGTTTACGAACTCAGAAGATTTAGATGAAATCACTGACGAACACTTGCCTGCTTTGGCAGCTGGGCTTTTAGCCGATGAATATGTAAGAGCCGATGGATAGGTTACGCCCTTTTGGGGTTTACCTTCTGCAAAAGAGAAAAAGAAAAGATTTTTTTTTCTAGAGCTAGAGGTTTTAGATGGCTCTGTTCTGATAAGCTGATTCCCTCCTCCCAATTTATCTTCCTTGAGTTCAATAAGATCAGTCAGTCTTCCCCGTGTTGAATTGTTGATTACAAGAGAAAAGTCAAGTGGCATTTTGTTTTCTTCAATAGCCTGTGCTTTATTTGTATTCAAATGGAAGCAATAAGATCTCGATGACTCAGAGTTAGCATTAGCAACTGTTATTTTGCCCATGAAAATGGGACATGGAAGCTGAGGTTTCCATACACTTGGCTTTGAATGTTTAATTAGGTCAGGAGATGGGTGTAAAAACGTTCTCCATGCTCCTCCTTAGATACCGGAAGGCTCTGTTCCCAGGCTGGCTGTGCCTGAGTGGCCGCCTCTCACTTTCACGGACCCTGTGGGATCCGTTTAAGTTCCGTGGCACTACAGACATGTGAAAGTCGGTAAATGTGGATCAGCCTTGAAAACAGTCATTTGTTGTCCACCTCGAGAGAGAAAGTTTAGATGCCAGGCAAGGAGAGGGAATGCTAATGTATATCAGGGAAATAATGGAGGCATGAAAAACAAAACCAATCAGGGGATAGGGGCTGGGTGAGCAAGTGCCAACCTTGATAGGACTGAAAATTGCCCAAAAGGCGGTCGCCTGCAGTCTTCCCCCAACGTGAGGTCATGCTGGAAACTTCACTGTGAAACAGAAAGTGTCCCTGGAATGTAATAGACGCCTCCCAAAGGCAGGTAATTTGTCTCACGCTGCTGAATTCCCAGTGCCTACGGCACTGTCTGATCTGTCGCAGAAGCTCAGTAAGTATTCATTCAGCAAAGGGCTATCTTAATGCTTAGATCTCTGTTAAACTTCAAATCCCCATGATCCAATATTTTCATCTAATAATGAAAACACTTTAACTCTCAGTGCAAGGGGATATTTTTATAGGGTGGGGCTAGGGAGAAGGTGGTCAGGAGTGCTAAATGGAGAGCCCAGTGGGTAGAACAGAATCTGGTACATGATTTTGTCACAACAGATTATAGGATCACGAAGCAGACAAAATAATGGGAAAACCTCAGGAAGGGTTTGGGATTGGGAATAAGAAAATATAGGTTCTACTTGAAACTAATACAAAATAATACTGAATGTAAACTGTCACAGAAAAAATATTTAAAAAATTAAAATATGTATACATTTCTCTTTCTATTTTTCTGTTGGTTAACTGACTCAATCTCTGAGACTCTTGCTTTTCTCCTTCCGAAAATATGCACAGTGACATGGACCAACTCATTACACAGAGTTGTAGGATCTAATGGAAACAAAGTTAAAGGTTTTGGAGCTCCGTATCACCACAGAAATGCAAAAAAAATTGTTATTTTTATTATTGAGTGACCAATAAATGTCACTCAAAGTGGGGGTGAGGCAAAATGTTTGGGCTTATTGAAGTTACTTCCTGTCATTAGCATCATCTGGGAGCAGAGCCTGGCATCTCCAGGTCCCCTGCCCTTGTCCGGGCCGGATCCAAACAGAAAACAATGGAGGTGCTTTCAGACCCAAGGAGGCCCTTGGCTGTGGCCTGGCTTTACCAACAGAGTGCAGCGGAGACATTGTCTCTATTTCCTGTTCTAAAATCCTATGGTTCTTTCTATTTCTACTCAGAAGGAAAAGAAGCATGAGCTCCATTTTCTGAAATGTGTATCAAAAAACAAATGGGCAGTTTTAGGAGGTCCCTCTCTGACCTCTTCCATCCCTATTCGAAAGATTTTGCTAAGCAAAGATGCACGTTCCCCTCTCCAGCCCCCCTCCCAGACCAATTAAGTAAATTAAGTAAAGGGCAAATTAAGTAAAGGAGTGCAGCAACCTGTGACAATTAGAAATAAAAGCCCAGAGAAAGGTCTTGGAGGCACGAGAGCCATCTCAGGGGGGTTCTGACAAGATTCTGTGAAACTTCAGCCTCTGAGCAGTGGGGGCAGGGGGGTGGCGGGGGTGGTGCTTGGCCACCAGTGGCTGACACCCTTCTGCGGCTGCAGGGTGCTCTCCTACCTTGTTCATTCAAAAGATACTCCTCGCCACTGCAGAAGCATAAATGTTTATTATCATTGGCAAAAAGGTTTCTAGTTAAATGTCCGTACATGGAATGAGGCAGCATGGAAGTTGATATTTATAGGGAATAATCCCAACAGATTGGTAGTCTCATGGAATTAATTTTTCTTTTAGACCTCTGTTGGGATTCTTGGATTGAAGGCTGAGTGCTTTAGATCAAAATACTCTTATTTAGTCAGGAGCTACTTGGTAAACACGATTGTGGAGATTATATTTCTCTCTATGCTCAACAAATTTGTATTCTAGGCATTAGCATTTTCATAACACCCCTATTCTGAATTCTTTGTTCCAAGGCAAACCTCATAGTACTATGGTTGATGACTTCCCACCCTCTGACTTGGAAACCAATCTAATTTGAACCCTAAGTGTACAGGGGGGCGGGAAAGTTTCTTCTTTATATAACAATACTAGCTAATGAATGAGGAATAAGTGACAGAATTAGAACAACTATAATTTTGCAATTACTAATGTAATTCTTGCTACAGCAAGGATCATCAATTAGATGTCAAAACTACTGGGTGATTTGTTGGGAAACAAGCTATTCATGCTGTTTTGAGGTATCACCCCAAAGACTGCTAATTAATTACAAGGTATCTTCACCATGGAGAGATAAGGTAAAATGTTCAAATAATCAAATTTAGCCTCACCAATAATAGGACATGTTGACATTATGTGCCTCCTGATATGGTCATTGTGATATGACATAATAGACATGCTGTGATGCTACCTGTGTCGTAGCATCCTTGCCAAAATATTTAACCTGAATCCAGTAATGAGGAAACAACTGGACATGTTTGTGGTCCAGATTATGGGACATACTACTAGAGGACCATCAAAAATGTCTTTGTTGTTCATAACCAAGAAGAGGATGTGATGAGATAGTTCTAGATTAAAGGACACTAAGTAGCCATGACAACTAAATGAAATGGGTGATCTTTGATTCGACTGTGGATCCAAAAAAGAGAAGAAATTATTCTGAAGACTATTCTAATATAATTGGATACCATTGAATAAGAACTCTTCATCAGATAATATTGTATCAATGTTAATTTTTCAGGTGTGGTGTTGGCATTGTGGTTATTTAAGAAAATGTTCTTGTTCTTACAAGATGTGTGCTGAAGATAAAGTATCATGATGCCTGCAGCTAATTTTTACACGGTTCAGACACAAAGGAAGTAGATAATAGGAAGATATGTAGATAAAGCAAATGTAGCAACACATTAACAACTGGTGAAACTAGGTGAAGGGAATATTGGTGTTCACTGTATTATTTTTTGAATTTTTCTGTAAATTAAAACATTTTCAAAATAAAAGGTTAGGTTGGGGAAATTCACAAATATAAAAAGGGGGTTCATAATAACACTAACATACTTGGTTACCTTCTCACTGTGAAATCGCACTAGTCATTACTAGCTCACCGACATTACCTCTTTGGAAAAGGGGGGAAAAAGTGAAAATGATTATCCATGAAGATCCAGTGGAGCTAGATAGTAAAAATTGATTGACTAGCAAAACAATTATTAAATAAAAATCTCAAATGAAACTGTTGCTCAGTTCTCTAAGAGCCCGTGTTCCTATCTGTTTACCAGGAATTTCAAGTAATAAGGTTCTAGATATGAGACTCATTTGGCCTAAGAAAAGGAGTAGTTAAAAACCTGAGTTATTAAATATAACTCACTTAATTAAAAAGTTTGATTGGGCTTACAGATAGCTGCTGTTGTGTTTAACATGAGTAATTGGAGCCTTTTAAAACTTCCAGAACTTGCAGTGATTTATCACTGTAATTATAATTCATTGTTTCACGATCCTAATTATCAGAAGAACTAACGCTCCAGATTTCCATGAAATGCGGTGGGCCATCAATTAAAACTAACAGCACCTTGAAAAAAAGCACATTTTGTCCCGTGAGATCACTTAGCCCGAGCACCTGTGCGCAGCAGCGCCTCCCCGGGGCGTGGCCATACCTGCGACGATGAAGGACTCTCTCCAGCGTGGCAGGGATAAGGACTGCACGCCACGGGAATAGCTCCCTTTGTAGCCAGACTGTCCAGCTACTTTCCGCACAAGTATTTTCCCTCCCGAGTTATCGAGCACACCGCTGTGAAGAGAAAAAATAATTTTTTGAAGGAGGATCAGAAAAAAATATTATTTGATGCGATCAATAGACTATCAAACCAGCCTCCGTCTTTATTTAGAGAAAGGAAAGGAGTGAGGTTAAGAAGAGGTTTACCTCGACCTGCAGCCCACCCCCAAGAACCGGGCCTCCTTCACGTGGCCCCGCATCTCACCCCCAGCTCGGACGTCCTTCTTTTTCTTATCACCGGACCTGATTTTCGGTCAGCCAGGAACTTCTCTTTGCCACCACGCCTCAAATTTCTTTTCCTTGGTTTCCCCATTTCCACTATTCTTTTAAGTAAAACTTCTTTTCTGACAATTTCCAATTTGGTTTTGTGACAGCACAGAATAACTCCTGCGGTTTCCCAGGGTGTGTGTGGGGTGACGTTTTTAAAAGCAAATTATTCCTTTTCTCTTGGGCCAGGAAAGGAGCTACATAAAAACTCATTATAAAGAGTCCCCAAAGACTGGAATTGTTTATTTAACTTCTAGGATTTTGAAGGTTTTAGACCCTGATGGGACGTAACTAACATATCTACCTCTTCCCTCCTATGGGAGGCAGAGACTCCATTCTGGTTCCTGAATATCACTTTCACACTGTCGTTTCTTTGCCCCAGAGGTTAAAATAGCTTTTTTGGTTATCTGTAATTTATGGCACAGGGGAGCTAAAAAAAAAAAGTACTCCGATTTGTTTTTATCAATACCACTCCTTCCCTCCAGGAATAAGAGTTGCCATTTCCTGCTCTTCCACTTTATGGTGAATCAACAACTTTCAATGCTCAACTTCCCATGGCCCAGAAGAAAAGAAAGCGATAATAATACTTGACATTTAAAGCACAGAATTGCTTTAAAATCAATCCCACATGGTATCTCCCTGTGTCCCTTCAGCAAACCTATGAGCTGTGGAATGAAATGAATGCGGTTATTCCCAGTTCATAGAAACAGGCCGAGACAGGTTGAGCGACTCCAGATTTTGTACCTAGTGAATTGCATGGTGGGGATTTAAACCCAGGTCTAACTGCTCTGGAGCCGTGCGTCTGTCCCGTTTCGTCACTGCTGCTTCTCAGGGTTTGAAAGCACAGGTACCTCCCGACACTAACTCCTTACATCTTTGCGATCTCTTCTTTTCTCTCGGGAGCTCTCAGAATTGTTACCTGCCTTCCCCCAGCTGCTTTCAGGCCAGTCTCAGCTGCCCTGACAGACCACAAGATTCTCACTCACCTGTCTCCCTGTTCAAGCTGCTCTGCTTGCTCTGGAGAATCTGGTTCCCACTTCTGCCTCACTGGGTCCCTAACACCTCCTTCTCCACAGTGATTCAGACACAACTTTGCCAGGCCCCTTCCTAACAACACCTGAAAATTCTGTCTCACCATTTAGGCTCTGATTTTATTTGGTCTTGTGCTATTTCCTAAACACTAATTGAGTTAATTTTGTCTCCCAACTAGATTGGAAGCTTTCTGACGAAAGGACCGTGTTTGATTGCTTCTGTATTAGAAGGCTTGTCAGTGGTGTGTGAGCTCTGCTTCCCAAAGCCACCTATTAAGCTTTCAGGATTGGGGGAGCTGTTCATTTACACCGATAGCTTGGAATCAGACATGACGGGAGTATTTATACCACAAAAATTGGTAAATCAGCCATGTTTACCAGCATACCACTGGCATAGACAGAAAATTCTCATTATTAAAAAGAATTGCCCCACGGTCCCTTTACTTATAATTAATGGGGAAAATAAAAATAACTTTTAGCTTTTTATTTTCCCCAAGAGAAACTATTCTGCCCTTGGACTTATATTCCCTTGTGTTGAGGAAGTGCATGCATGTGCCCGCATCCGTGCATGTGCACACACTTGCTCTTGCTTAAGCCAGCGCACTCCCTGGAGCTGACACTCTGAGCGAGGAAAGTTGGCGGCTGTTTGAAAGGCATGTGGAGAGCCCAGGGGGTTCTCAAGCTGGGCTTGGCTGCTGCTATCCCTTGAGAAAGTTACGTAAGACTGAAAACCTAGACTTTCGGAAAGGTGAGGATGTAGACCTATTTTTTTCCCATGAGATGTTCCAGCTGTTGTAGAAGAGAGCAAAGACTCATCTTGTGGACTTAGCTGGAGAATGCAGATGTTCCCAGACATTCCCTTAGAGAAGGGCATTTCCTGGGGAGCTCAGTGGTCTGTGAACTACAGGAGGCACCAGCAGTCCAAGGAGGAGAATGCACCAGAAGAACCTTGACCATATAGAAGGTATTAGAGGAGGGAGAGAGCCTGAAAGACATGGTGGTTTTACTTATGAAGCAGATGGGGACAGAGCCATGGTAATTTGGAGAATTTATGTAAATAGGACTTCATTTGTATCCTTACTTAGATGAGAGTACTTCATGTCTACCCTCTAAAAGAGCAAAGTCAGTTCCACTTCTTTGCGTTCCTGAGATGTCCTGTATGATTCTGATCGTGGCCTTGAGGTTTGCCTCCTCCAGGACCCTGGTGCCAGGGGGCCGGGATAAGCTGAGGGTCAGTTTTGTGGCTTAGAGGAAGGAGACTGCCCACCACTAGGCCAGGTTTTGAATGCTTCCATTTTCATGGCGGTCATCTGGTCTGAAATCAGTGTGAAGAGTGCTTTGCATGGAGCTGGCCTATGTACTGCCCTGTCTCAGAGAAATCTCCCCTCTCCCCAGCACTGGTCTCACTTTAAATAAAGAGCTTAGTTCAGGACAAGACTGAGCCAAAAGATGATGCCTCAGACACGTTCATTATCCCCTTGGCGTGAAAGTAACAAGGGAATTAGTCATAAGATGTCTGATTTTGATATATGAGATCTGTCCAGAAAAGGTCCAGCCATTGTTAATATAATGAGAATGGTTTGTGTGACATCAGTGTAACCTGGCAGCCAAGGAGAGTGGACTGGAATGCGCATGTGTGAACAATGATGACTTTACTGTACTAGTCAGTGGGGGCAATAGATACTGTCAAGTGAGCATGTGTACTGTGTGGCCATCGTATTCAAAATGACTGAGCAAGTAGAGTAATGAGTCTGCATCAGATTTTGTCTTAAGTTTGAGCATTCCTCCCTGGAAACTATTGGGATGATTCAGAAGGCCGCAGCCATGGGTAACTGGTGATTGGCAGCTTCATCACAACAGTGTGTCCATTCACGCATCACATCTCCTGCAGTTTTTCTGTGAAACATCAAATCTCTCAGGTGACTCAGCCCCCTTACAGCCCAATTTGGTGCCCTGCAACTTCTGGCTTTTCCCAAAACTAAAATCACGTTTGAAAGGGAAGAGATTTCAAGCTGTTGATGAGATTCAGGAAAATATGGTGGGGGAAGTGTGATGGGGCAGCTGATGGCAACTGGGAGAACTGTGTGAGGCCCCAAGGTGCCTGCTTTGAAAGGGACTGAGGTGCCATTTTCCTATGTACAATATTTCTTGTATCTTTTATCTTCAACAAATGTCTCTATTTTTCATAGTACATGGCTGGATACCTCTGGACAGACCTTGTATTGTATGAATATTAAATCCTTTAAGCTGAATATTAAATCTAAATTTCTAAACCAGAGTATGTGCTCTCTAGTTTCTCTGTCCGATTGTGGGAGAACTCTGGCAGGACAATGGCAGGTATCCCTTATGTATTTCCTGCTTACGTTGTCTTTCTTAAATCCTGCCTTCTGTAAACAGACTCCTGTTGTAGCCAAAAATACCTATTTCTTCTTCCTGAAGACGTTTATTCATCTGCCCCATGGACAGGGCTACTTCTTTTCAAATAGAGTTTCTCACTATATTAGACACTGGTCCTGAAGCTACAGAGGCACTCAGTTGCTCAAGGAGCCAATCTTGGTTTTTGAAACACTCAAACTGTTTTCTGCTTCTCTACCCTCATCTGCGTTCTTCCCAGCAAATTCCTAGACTCTAACCCCAATGCTGGGGTTCCTGAGTTCTGGTTCATCTCAATGCCCTTCTTATTTTCTCTCTAGAGATGGGTCCATCCGTCTTAAACCCTTTTCCAGCTCTTCTTGCCCCGAAGTCCAACCCCGCTCCCCCCCCTCAGGTCCTTACTTTGTACCTTAAGCAGTTCTGGGATGTCCTATTCTTATGGAAAGGTATCACTCAGGATCTGGGCTGGAAGTGGTGGATGTGAGTTCTAATCCTGAATGTGCAACTAACTAGCAATTTAATTAACTTCCCTATGCCTCAGTTTCTCTTCTAACATATGGGGATGCTAACATCGGCCTCATAGGGTTGAGATGATGCTAAAAAGAGAATCACAGTGTAAGGGATAACTGCCATAATGATGATACCTTTGCTGAGGTCAGATTAACTCATGTGGCTCTGTCCTGCATAGCAAACATGCCAGCCAGTGCCAGAGGAAGCCCACACCAGCCATCTCAAATCACAGGCTGGAGAGCACTGATATGATGGAGCGGCATGAGCACATGTGTGTAGGCATGAATGAGTGTGCACATGTGTATTCATGCACATGCATGTGTGTGTAGATTTATATACCTCTTTCCTTTTTGCATGAAGCTGACTTCAGAGTGAATGCAAAATATTTTTATTCCATAGTCTGGAGTTAAGAAACAGCATTTTGTGTTGTTTTTCTTTAATATTCCGCTACTTATCCTTGCTAGAGCCTTCATAGTCATGCCCACGTTAAAAAATCAGTTAGCTCATCATCCCTCTGCAGTTGTGGGGAAAAGAGGAGTATGGCTGACAAAACCTACTAGGAATTCTTAATTCTTATTTTATATGTAGATTTTTTTTCTTACTGCATCTCCAATTTCAGAGAAGCTACTGGTTAGTTACCTTGAAAAGGAATGAATTTTACATCTTCTCCCCCATGTCTGGCAGAGATACAACTGAACAATCAACTGACTGGTATAGAAATAAGGAAAAGGAAAAAGATACCAGAAGACTAAATAATTCAGAAACTTTATCTAGTGTCTAGTATCCAAGCCCCGACTTGGGAGCTACATCTCAAAGCAGTGCTGGGTGGTGGTTAGTAGCACAGGCACTGGCCTTGGGTTCGAGTCCCCTTTCTGATACTCAGTTTTGATAGTGTGGCTTTATAAAAGCTATTCAACGTCTCTTCATCCTTAAGGTGTAGATAATAGTAGATACCGCATAGGGGAATTGTGAGGTTTAAATAAGATATCACAGGTGAGGTGCTCGACACATACACATCAACCTTATTATCAAAGATATTAAGTAAATAGACTTTTCCTGTGTTTTGAGTCCAAGCCTAAGAAAAAGAAGTATGAGGATTCCGTGACAGCTACTTTTGCCTCTTCCCACCTAAGCAGTGACTTAGTCTCAAGCATGCCCTGCCTCCTGTCCTCCTGACTGGGTCTCAAACCAGCAGCTGACCAAGCAGTACCACCGTTCCGCCCCTTGTCACTTTTCCTGTTCCATTTATCTCAGGCCATCACCATGGCTGTGAGATTTCTTCTCCAAACTTCTGGGCCTTCCTTAGTCTCATCTCTAGTATTTCCTCACTCAGCACATACAGGTAGAAAAAAAAAAATCCTTTACATCATCAAGAACTTTTGTTTTCTTGTCGTGAACATGAAAGAATCTTCCTCCTGGCTTCACTAAGATGCAAAGAGAAGTCAGTCCTCCGACCGGTAGAGCACTGGGAAAGGGGGTCCGGGACCACTCACGGCTCCTGCAGAATCCCATGGGATAGGGAGGCCAGATGAAATGCAGGATGCACAGTTACATTTGTATGTTTTTGTGTGCTAAGTCAGGCCACCCTGCTCTGGCTCCCTGCCCACCCCCGTATTGCTGGTTGTTAAGTAGCTCAGAACTGCCCACCTGTGAACCGCAGCAGCACACACACTGGAGTAGGAAGCATAGACGCCTGTGCCATAAACGTGGTATTTGGGGTCTTGGCATCCTGCCGGACATTTCACAACAAACTCAGGATTGATTATCTTTCCAGCTTTGACATCACAGTTGATCTGTGGCACAGCTGAGAATATAAAATGAGGTCAAAATTACACCTTATGGTATCAGCTTACATAAGTATGAGGTGATTCTGTTAGGTCATAACTGTTCATTTAATTAATCTATAAAAGCCAGAGCCTGGGCTGATCTTAGATACCCTCCTTATAACGAAAACAAAGATATAATTAATTAAGGTATCCCTCAGACCAAATGAGTGACAAAGACCATCCATTGCATTTAACTGCAAAGAGCAAAAACAAAAGGCTCATTCGTGTATTATTCTGGACAATCAATTAATTGAAGAGAACTTTGGGAAAAGATTCACTTCCAGTGACCAGAAGTATCATCTGGAGGCAATAGCTGGAGAGCTCTGGTTTTTCAGATGCTCTGGAGCTAGCCTAAGGGAAGAGAAGACTCTCAGACGACCTTACAGGGGAAGGAAAGGTATTCCACGAAAGGCAAGCAAGGGAGCTTGGGCCTAGGGGTGAGGACAGGCTGGGACAAGGGTGGCCTGCTGCAGCAGAGGCTCTGTGCTGGAGCCTGGTTGGGGCTGCAATTGGTAGGGCCAGGCCAGGTGAAGGAGGCCTTAGAGCTTGTGTTCCATGTGGGATGTGGGATGAAATGGGAGGTTTTTGGACAGGGGAGATAGGAAGTGAAAGTGATCTTTTGTCTAGGTCCTAGAGGGTGGGTCCTAGACCCATGGTCCAGATGGGAGTGATCTTTTCTCATCAGCCTCAGTGTGGTGGAAACCTGGGGACTCCCTGCTGAGCACCCAGAGGATGCTCATTCATTCTTTTTCCCTCCTTTCTGGCTTTGTGACTATAACTGCCAGGCTAGTACTGTCCAGTATGTTAGGTAAGTCTTCTGGAGCTGAAAGCTTGGCCAGGGGTATGGTGGGTAGACGCTCTAATGGCAGGGCCTACAAGGAAGAGCAGCCGCATCTTCTCTGAAAAAAAAATTCCTGCAGAAACTCCTAGATGACACTGTACTGATGCCCTTCGAGCAGGGAGTGTGTTCCGTTTGGAGCCCTATTCTTCAGAAGGGGCTCTGACACATGAGCACAGTTCAAAGAGTAAGCGGGCGCAGGAGGGGTCTGGAAACTACCAGATGTGAGGAATGGCTGGCAGAAACGGGCATTTTGGCCCTAAAAAGGGGAGAATTTGAAGGCAAGTGACAGTTGTCTTCACAAGCAGGACTGCTGTGTGCTGGGACACCAGAGGCAGACTTAGAACTAAAGGGTAGACTTCCTGCGGAGGCAAGCTGGGCTAAGAAGAAATTTTCTAGTGACAGAGTTTGCCCTTGTAGGAATGGGCTGGCCCGCCAGCGGTGAATGGGCTGGAGGTATGCACGCAGAGACCGAACAGTTGGAGAGGGGATTTCCACATGGGGTGGGAGGTAGAAATGAAGCCCCGCCCAGGGCTGGGAGTCTGTGATTACGTACATGTGCATGGATTCAGGATCTCTGCCAGGCCACCCACCCTCTAACTGGGTCACTGAGATGGTCTAGAGTTGTTAATGGCTTCCAGCTGTATCCAGAATGCGCACTCATTTTTTTAACTCTTACAAACCCAAATGGAACAGAGTTGCATTTCATTCAGACTGGAGAGAATGAAGTTAGAACTCCTACTCTTTTCTTAAACACCCCTCCCAGACAATCTTTGCCAGTCAGGGCTGGGCCAGCATGGAAGTCCTTCTCCTGGGAGCCCAGGGGCTGAGTTTGATCACAGGCTAAAACAATCTGTGGTTTACACTAAGAAGCAGAGCACTGTGCTTAAAACAGTTTTGTGGTTTCATTCTTCCCACCACAGGTTGCCTCCTCTCCAAAGTTATTTTCTTTTTATCTTTTATATCCTGATACTCAAGGCTGCATTTACTATTTTGAGTTAGAGTATTTTGTTTTAAAAAGGCATTTTGGAGGCTGAAGATTCCAGTGTAGTCTCTCCTTAAAATGAGTTAGTTGTTTGATCGCTGGGTGTAACTGAATGTGTTCAGTTCCCCTCCTTCCTGTAGATCACTTCCCCACTCTCAAATGCATCCACTCCCTTGGATGGAAAGAAAAGCAAAGTATTCCTTCTTGGCTCTTATTTATTTGAAATAGGAGGTGACAAGCTCCTTGAACTGGGGTTCAACTGGGTTGTAACTTTGGCTCCCTAATATTTTGGACCTCCTGGAAGACCAACCCAAATCTTCTAAAGTTGAGTAAATGGCTGTATCTAGAAGCTTAGTGTATGAGTTTTATATAACAATTAAACTTATGGAAAGACTTCAGTGTGCACACAGCACATGCAGTGGGATTTTCTATGAAATAGTTGGTTTGAAGAGCTAAGGGGAAAAATGTCACATGGGAATATTTGGCTTCCTGCTAATCAATTCTCCAACCTCTTGCTTTAAGGAGAACCTGTTGTTTTTAATTGTTTTGTTTTGTTTGCACATAGGCCTGAGAAGTATCTTAAATAAGTCGGCTTCATTTGTACCCAACTGGATTAGCACAACTGGCAGATCAGTTCATCCCACAGGGGAAAAAAACTGAAACCAAGCTCATAGGCTCATGCACTTTGCAAAAACAAGGTGCAATGGCAAAGTGTAGCTAAAGGTCAAATACATGTTAAATTTATACAGAAAATCAAGCTGGAGAGACTGAGCTAATTACAAATTTCAGAGTTATTGCCAAAATCACTGGAAATTATAATGTCTAAATCCAGCTGGGAAAAAGCAGCCATGTGCATCTTCTGGGCAGCTCATCTTTGAGTGTATGGAAGCCACAGCTTCTTTCTTTATAGTCTCCTCACAGGTATTGGTGAAATTGTCTGTTGTCCTGTGACCTTCCAAGAATCTTCCATTTATCCATTTGAGGCCCAAATAAAATGACTTATTTTTGCATTTCCTCTGAATTTTTCTGCTCTTCCATCTTAGAGGTTAGGTTTTCCTTTTCTCTCTCTTTCTCCTTTGTTGCTTAGGCTCATTTTCTTATCTCCCTTCTCCGTTCTCTGGGCTTTATCTTAAAGGTGAAGAAATTAGCCTCCTTCAGAGGACAAGTCAAAATTAAGGCGGCTCGAGAAGTGTCATTCCCAGGAAGGCATTTGGCAAATGACAAAACAGAGAGTCGGGCGCTGGGGGGAATCCTGCGTCCGCACGATCAATCCCAGGTGAGAACTTACTCAGAAGCCATAAAAAGGGTTACTCGCAGGGACATTTGGAGAAAGCAAGAAGAGGAACCTTCCCATTTCTCCATGAGCGGACAGTTGCTGGTGGCAGGGAGGGAACCCTGAGCTAAAGTCACAGAGACCCAGGGGGATCCCAGAACTGCTTCACCAGAGCCTTAGCACCGAGACCTGTTCCTTGGCCACCTGTTCTGCTTCTCCCTCATGTGATTCCTTAAGGTACCTTGACTTCTCATGGTCACAGTTACTTTCGGGACAGAGCTCACAGTGGAGCACGTCTGAATTTGCCAAGGATTCCCTCCCAGATGGCTAGAACTGTAGGATATCCTTCCGATGCTACTCATTGAGGTGATGTGTCTGCCATATTGATCTCAGAGGGTTCCTGGGAAAAACTGGTACTATCTGAGCCACTATTTTCATGCAATATTGGGATTTTAGAGGCAGAGCTGCGAATGTTTCTGTTCTGCATTAGGTTTCCTGCCTGGCCTAGTAACTGAGTGATTATTGGGTGATGTCATGTGCAATCAGCCAGTGATGTCGCAAGCTGAATACAATTGTATATTCTACTTTTTATTTTGCCATTCATCTTTTCAATGATCCCAGGTAAGCCACATTGCTCCTGGAAAACAAATTCCCTAATCAATTTGAGAAGGCTATTGTAAGTTTGCCTACTGCACATTAGTGAAGGGGAATTATAACATAAAGGCACTTATGAATAAACAGTTTTGACATTAGATGGTTTTGTTCGGTTGTGGCATTCAACTAGAGTAAAATCTTATTTTAAGAGAATTATGCAAAAGTTAGCTTAAAAAAAGAAAAGTGACTATTAAATAAAATTGGAAGATGAATGCTTCCTTGATCCTAACACCCAGCAACCAGATCATATTAACTCTTCCTTTGCAGTGACTTCTCCATTTTTCTTATGCAGTCAGTGATCACTTTTGATTCAATGAAATTTGAATCTCTGCTCAAAAACCATCATTAGCTTTATTGCTGCCTTGAGGAAGAATTCCAGAATCCTTAAGGCCTTTTCTCAGTCCCCTCCATGGAACTTGCCACTAGTGTCACTGGTAGTTTTCAAACAAATGTTATCTTTCAGACTTGGCTTGTATCATTTCTCACTCCTGGGACCCTTTTTCCTTTCGTGTGTTTAAATGCTAGTACTTTTTCAATGTCCAAGTTCTACTTATCTCTTCACTCATTTACTAGAAACTATACTCCATGAGGGCAGGGATTTTTGTCTGCTGCTCAACAGACTGTCTGCTGAATGATTGAATAAGTGAATAAAACCAATCCATTAGGAAGCCCTGTTGGTCTTATTTCCAGATCTGCTATTTCTCTCCTTTTCACCTTGGTCCAAGTCACCAACATTCCCAGTCTCAAGTATTAACACAGTAGCCTCCTGTCTTGTCTTCTTCCTTCCATGTTGCACACCCTCTGCCCCAGTCCTTTCTCCATTGAACAACCAGTGTCACGCTTTTAACAATGTAATCAGATTCCATCATTCTCCTGCTTAAAACCCCTCATTGACTTTCTAATATCCTCAGGATAATGTCCAAGCTCCTTAAGATGGTCTATAAGACCTTAAAGGATTTGATCCCTGAATTCCTTTCTACTTAATCTCCTCATACTGTTACTTGAGTGATGAAAAGATACCAGCCAAGAAAGGCCTGGAGAAAAGACCGTCCAAGCAGAAGGAAGAGCCAGGGCAAAAACTCAGATGTGGGAATGGGCTTGGTGGTTAGCGAACATAAATGAGGCCAGTGTACCAGGAGCACAGTGGGTGAGAGAAAGAGGTCCAGGATAAGGTCTGGGAGGTCAGCCTGGATCAAATCACATGGGGACTGGACAAATTAGTAATCCC